CATCTTAGGAGGCCTCTAAAAATGGTACGCCACACGGGTACCAAATAACATTCACCTACGCCTTAGCTCCATTTTTGGCCCCTGGCCCCCTTATTCCGTCCCCAGAACAGGCTGACTCGACCGGCCACACTGGACATTCTAAACACTACCGAGCAGGTAGCCGGACCCACGGCTGCCCCTGCCTCTTCCCATTAGCGATGGGGGGTGGAGGAGAGGATGCTCCGAAGAGGCGCAGCGAGCACTGCGTTCAGGTCTCCCTCCCCCGACCCCCTCCCCACACTCGGCAGCCATTCTCTCGAAAACAGGTGGCGCATTTGTAAAGAACGCAACACACGAGGAGGGGGACGTGCAAGAACGTTCACCAACACTCTCGAACGAAAGCCCGCACCCCGGAGAACACGCACTCGCTAGGACCCAGGCGCGCGGGGACACGCGAGGACGCACCCCCACGAGGGCGCTGCTGCAAGGGGGTGGGTCACGACTGCAGGGGGCGCGGCCACGCGCGCGCGGGCGGGCGAGCACCACGAGAGGGGCTGACACCATGGGGGGGCGAGCACCCCCGAGAGAGGCTGTGACACCAAGGCAGAGGGGGCACCCACACAGCCCGGGCGCCCACGCCCGGGCCGGGAAGAATCTGCGCGGACACAAAGGGGCCGGGAGGGGAGACACCTCGCATGTCCACGCGCGCTCGGGTCGGCGGACCCCCCCAAGGCTAGCGGGGGTGTCACCCGCGCACCGACGGCGACGAGGGCGCGCGAGCGGCCGGGGGACGCGCACACACAGGGGCTTCTCCCACCTTCGCACAGGAGCCCCGAGGGACCCACACTTGCAGAACAAGGAAACCAGACAAAAGACACACCTACTGGGACCGACGACACCGGCCACACACACCACACACACACACCTCGAACCGACACCATCCCCCCCGCCCCTTACACACAGTGCAGGCACCACAGCCAACGACGCGCACACACCCACACTCACCACACACCCACGGAGGGGGTGTGGAGGACCCCTCGCCCCGGGCATCTCGGCTGCTGCGCGACAAGCTGACACATCCGGCAGCCCCGCCGCGCGCCAGGTGTGCACTCACCGGGGCTCGCAGCCCGCGAGCCTCGGACGCGGGCAGCCACCGCCGCCGCCTCCGCCTCCTCAGGCCCTCCACGTCAGCCGGCGGGCGGGTGGGCGCGAGCGGCCCGGCGGCGGCTGGGGGGCGGGAGGACGTGCGTCACGTGAGCCGCACCGCACATGCGCCGTCGCGCAGGCCACGCCACGCCCCCCGCCGCGAGCCCGGCGATTTCCCGCACGCCCCCGCGCTCTCGAGCGGCTGACTGACCCGAGTCGCGTTGCGCCTGCGCGCGGGCGGGGTTGCCGTGGCGACCGGGTGGTGTGCAGTTTGTCCTCTCTCGCCCTCCTGCGGAGCCCCTGGTCCGCGCCTGCGCCGAGGCCTCGGCCCTGAGGTGGCCGAACGTGCCGCGGGGGGAGTCAGCGCCTGGAGGACCCAAGGTCGAGGGCCACCCCGCAACCCGGGGGGGGAATTCGAATGAGAAAATTGACCTACGAGAGGGCAGGGCCCAGTTCTGGGTGTCGAGGCCGAGGCGGGAGGGCGCTTGCGCGCCGGCCCCCCCATCCCTCCTTGCCCTTTTCTTCCCTGTTCTCACGGAGGCGAAGCCTGCACAGTTGGGGTGGCGTTCAGTTCCGCCCCCGTCCCCGGCTCTCCCCTTGCCGCCCCACACCTTTCACTGTAGGACGTGCGCGCGCACGTGAGGTTGGGGGGCTGGTTGCTCGTGCAGGCCACGGTTGGGTGCTTCTGTGCACGTGTGCGAGCAGGTGTGCGTCGGAGGTCAGTGCACCGGTGTCGCCTGTTTGGTTTACTAGAGAAACGCAGAGGCTGTGCCCATAGCAAAGCGGTGAGGTTACAATAGACCCATAGTGAAAATGAGCGGATCACTGACAGATGACTTGCTTTTGTTTTCCCCCACAGAATATCTAAAGCCACGGGGAAAATGGTGGAAAATTCACCGTCGCCATTGCCAGAAAGAGCGATTTATGGCTTTGTTCTTTTCTTAAGCTCCCAATTTGGTTTCAGTAAGTACTCTCCTGATGGATGGCCAGGGCCTTTCTCTGATGTTCAAGGACAAGGAAATTTTTCTGTTTGTTAGTAGAATGTGCACACATGAACTGTGATTCTTTCTGCCTTTGTCTCTTTTTGGGAAAACCTGAAGAGAACTCTTGTCTTTTCAGAGTGTTCTATATTCCAGACATGAGCCTGAAAGATTTAATTTCAACAAATCTTTAAAAATGCCTCACCAGGCAGGATTGCAGAGGGAATGAAACCTGATCCCTGCCCTTAAGAAGGTCTTGGTTTTGTGGACAAGACAGAAGATTAAACCTCAATTACAACACTGTGATACGTGCCATGGGCACCTAGTGAAGAGATAAATCAAAATGGAAATTCAGGGAATTCCCTGGCGATCCAGTGGTTAGGACTCTTGAGCTCTCACTGCCAAGGCTCAGGTTCAATTTCTAGTCATCGAACTAAGATCCCACAAGGCTCTGAGGCAGTGCAACCAAAAAAGGAAAGAGTTAATTTTTCTCCCAGGGACTTTATCTGCAGCAGGAAGGAGGAAGAAGTGGGAAGGCCTTGAAGGGACGCATGGTGAGGAGTAATCTGATATGGCCCCAGTGCAGCTGTGGGAGCTTGGGAGGAACAGGAATCGCTCCAGAAGTCAGCTGCACTTTACATCCTGGGTCTCAGTCAGTCCCCATTATGGTCCCATTTTACAGATAAGAAAGCTTGTTCACTGACACACCATATTCCCAGAGTCGTGTAGCAGGCCTCATGTCTCTCCCTAGAAGGATTTGAGAATTAGGAAGAAAAGTGGGTACCCAAAACTTTTTAGAATTTTGTGGAAACCAGGGAGATGGAGTGGCAGTGCTTATGAATCCTAACTGCATCAGTATAGCCAACTAAGCTGTGGCTAGGACAGCCTGTGAAGTAGTTATAGCTTGAGTCCAAATCCTGACTCCTCCACAGATTTGCTTTGTGGAGGACTGTTTGCGTCTTCGATTCTTCAGAGGCTTCATCGGTGGAAGGGTGGTCATGTCTATCAAAAGCTAAGGAAGCATAAGACAGTCCTGTGAGATGGAAATTATCATTACTGTCCTCATTTGCAGATGAGAATATTGAGCACATGGGGCTTAAATAATGTGCCCAAGGTCACACTGTTGGTAAATGATAAAGTTAAAATTTCCACCCCGGCACACGGGGTTGATGTCACTGTGCTGCCTCTTTATGTCTGTTGTAAAGATTAATTGCCATCATTTATGCAGAGCACTTAAAAGAATGTGAGGCATAGGAATAGTAAGTAGAGGTTTCCCCTGCAAAACTGGAGGTGGCTTGGACGGTAAAGAATCTGCCTGCAATGCAGGAGACCTGGGTTCGATCCCTGGGTCAAGAAGATCCCTTGGAGAAGGGAATGGCTTACCCACTGCAGTATTCTTGCCTGGAGAATTCCATGGACAGAGGAGCCTGGTGGGCAAAGAGTCAGACACAGCTGAGCAACTTTCAGACACACGCATTCTCATGAAACCTTTCAGAGCCAAAATGGTATAAAATGAAGGGCACATTTGCTAATGCACAAAAGTTGAGCTCATGCACTCAATTTGATAAAAATACTCAGTTCAGGTAAAGATGCTCACAGACACAGGTGAAAGCTGTGGTGTCTTGATGCTGAGATGCTGAGGGTAGCCCTGGGAAAGGAGCTTGGACGAGCCTCTCTCCCTTCTCTGGGTGCGCGCTGCCTCTACGACAGCTCCCTGCAAAACAGATGCAGAAAAGTTTTTTAGTAAAAGCAAAAATCCTCTTCAGATTTCCTTTGGTTAAAGAAAACATACTACTGTAGGTCTTTTCTATGGCTTAAAGCGGACTTTCAAAAAGTGGGGGCAACCTGTACTTTATTGGAGTGGGTTGCCATTCCCTTCTCCAGGGGAATTTCCTGACCAAAGTATTGAACCTAGATCTCCTGCATTGCAGGCAGATTCTTTACTATCTGAGCCACCAGGGAAGCCCAATTAAACATTAGCTGCGACTCTGATTGTTATCATCAACATCATCATTTTTGCAAATCTGTGTTCTATAGAGTATTTGAAGGATTAGAGACTATACAGATAAATAAAAGCAATGACTTTAATAAGACTTAAATCCAACAGGACCCACAACCAGAAATTTTTTTTTAAATTGGAGGCTAATTACTTTACAGTATTGGGGTGGTCTTTGCCATACATTCACATGAATTGGCCATGGGTGTACATGTGTTCCCCATCCTCACCCTCCCTCCCACCTCCCTCCCCACCCCACCCCTCAGGGTCATCCCAGTGCACCAGCCCTGAGCACCCTGCCTCATGCATCAAACCTGGACTAGCGATCTATTTCACGTATGATAATATATATGTTTCAGTGCTACTCTCTCAAATCATCCCACCCTCACCTTTTCCCACAGAGTCCAACAGTATGTTCTTTACATCTGTGTTTCTTTTGCTGGCTCGCATATAGGGTCATCGTTACCATCTTTCTAAATTCCATATATATGCGTTAATATACTGTATTGGTGTTTTTTTTTTCTGACTTACTTCACTCTGTATAATAGGCTCCAGTTTCATCCACTTCATTAGAACTGATTCAAATGTATTCTTTTTAATGGCTGAGTAATATTCCATTGTATATATGTACCACAACTTTCTTATCCGTTCGTCTGCCGATGGACATCTAGGTTGCTTCCATGTCCTGGCTATTATAAACAGTGCTGTGATGAATATTGGGGTACACGTGTCTCTTTTATTTTATTTTACGTGTCTCTTAATTCTGGTTTCCTTGGTGTGTATGCCCAGCAGTGGGATTGCTGGGTCGTATGGCAGTTCTATTTCCAGTTTTTTAAGAATCTCCACACTGTTCTCCATAGTGGCTGTACTAGTTTGCATTCACACCAACAGTGTAAGAGGGTTCCTTTTTCTCCACACCCTCTCCAGCATTTATTGCACAACCAGAAATTAATTCCACAAATTTTTCTTGCGTGCTTACCATGTGCTGGGCACTGTTACTGACCAGAGATGAGCAAAACAGCCGCAGATTTCCTGCTCTCAGAGTCTGCATTCTGCTGGGAGGGAGACGGTCAATGGACAATTTACCTGAGTAAAACATATAGAATGTCAGATGATAATGTATGCCTTGGGGAGAAATTAAGCAAGAAAGGAGCTTGCTGTTGTAAGTACAGCTGTCAGGAGGTTCCTCACTGACAGATGAGTTTCAGGCACAGACACAAAAAATGAGAGTTGCCATGGCAATGTTGAGAAAGAGCCTCTCAGACAGAGAACAGCCAGTGCAAAAGCCTAACAATGCCAGTGGTTTGAGGGAATTGATGGAAGTCATTAAACCTGAGACAGTGAGGCAGAAAGTAATAAGGGAGGTGAGAAGCCAGTACCCAGTGAGGCCAGTACCCAGCAGTTTTAATAAAACATAGTGGTAGAGGGGAGAAGCCGGCTGGATGGCGGGTGCGGAAGTGGGGTCAGAATCCGGTAGGAACCTGAAACGTCTTGAAGTTGTCTGAAGATTATTCAGTCACTATGTCAAGCGACAGAGATGTTTCTCTTTCTTCATTTGATGAAGATCAGGGGTCTAAACTTATCCAAAAAGCTAGAGAGGCACCATTTGTCCCCATTGGAATGGCAGGTTTTGCAGCAGTTGTTGCATATGGATTATATAGATTGAAGAGCAAGGGAAATACTAAAATGTCTGTTCACCTGATCCACATGCGTGTGGCAGCCCAAGGCTTTGTTGTGGGAGCAATGACTCTTGGTATGGGCTATTCCCTGTATCAAGAGTTCTGGGGAAAACCTAAACCTTAGAAGAGGAGATGCTGTCTTGGTCTTGGTGGTGGTGCTTGCTTTAGTTAGACATCTCACATTGAGGTTATATGTTTATGCGGAAAATAAGTTGTTTGGGTCAGACAAGAACATGGTAATTTGAACATTGGCTTCCTTTCTTGCAGGCCTGATTTGCCTGGTGACCAAGTGACTGCTGACTAGTTCACTAGCTAGGTCATTCAGGAGAGTCAGATCCGCACCGAAGAAACACGTCGCTTTTAAATACACTTGATAACGGTACCTGTCCACCTTCTGAAACCCTTCTGTTGAAATTAGTTCTAAAGAAGACAACATGCCAGTCCTGAAAATGCTCCCAGTTGCTGCGGAATATCATATGCTTTTGATGTAATATAGGAATCCTATTTACCCCCGTTAATTTAACTTTCTGACTGTCTTGTGGACTGAGTACCGTTTTAAGGGCTGGTTGGCTCTTGAGAAACCCTTCAGAACAGTGCATGGAATACAGCATTATAAACCTCCCTGCAAGTCTGTGTGTGTTTTTAAACCAAACCTAAAAAGCTGGTAACAGAGCCACTTTGAAGTAGTATTTATTTTAGAAGCATAGTTATAAACATGAGAGTAACTTAAATTGTAGATCCCTTTTAGCTCTTTTGTAATTGCAGAATTATATTTTGCTGCTGTTAGAATAATTTTAAATTATTTTCAAACATGTATTTTAAGTGCTAATGCAAAGGTAAATGAAAAACACTTTTTAAATGTGTGCAGTATGTTTATTTTCTCCAAAAGAATCATCAACTAAATAAAATGCCTATAATGGAAGTCATTGATGAGCAAGCTGGCTTGGTCAGACATAATACAAACTTTGGCATATCACAGAATGCTTTGTTGTACTTGTGAAATTCTCTAGTCTAACCTGAATTTACATTCCATGGTGATAACATGGTAAATGTAGTGTTATTAAAGTAAATGAACACATAAAAAAAAAAAAACAACAACAACATAGTTGTAGGTGCACAGGGTTTACGTGAGTCTCTCTGTATGTTGAAATACTTACTGAATTTAAAAGCTAATCGTAGGGACTTCTCTGGTGGTCCAGTGGTTAAGAATCCGCCTTCCAATGCAAGGGACGATCCCTGGTTAGGGAACTAAGATCCCACGTGCCACGGAGCCGCAAAGCCAGTGCACGTCAACTAAGACCCAGACCAGACACAGCCAAATAAATAATTAACTTAAAAAAAGCTAATTCTCTTAATCTGTTTAGGCTGTGCCCAGGTAGCTTAAACAATAGATATTTATTCCTCAGCTCTGGAGGCAGGGAAGTCCAAGATCTGGATGCCAGCATGGTTGGGTTCTTGGTGAAGGCCCTGATATGGTTTGCAGACCATCACTTTCTTGCCATGTCCTCATATCAGAGGACGAGAGGGCACGGCCCCGATCTCTTCTGGGTCTCATGAGGACACTGATCCCATGATGGAGCCCCCTCCCTCATGAGTTCATCTATACCTAACTGCCTCTCAAAGGCCCCGCCTCCAAATCCACCACATTGGGGATTAGGGTTTCAGCGTAATCATTTACGGGGAGGGGCACAAATACTCCATGCATACCTGTAGTTGTAGACTGTGGTAATGGCTTTGAAGGAAATAAAGAGAAATGGCCGGGAGTAAGAGGGTATGGTGTGCGGGTGGGACACAGCTGGAAGAGCAAGCTGAGGAACCCAAATGCCTTGAAAGAGCCAGAGGAAGAACATTTCAGGCAGACAGCGCTCACTACAAGAGCAGTTACCCTGCGTCTGAAGGTTGTCTGAAGTGCAGACATCAGACACTGTCTAGAGCTGAAGCGTAGTGTGTGAGGACTGGACCCTGGAGGGGCAGGCAGGAGCCCTGTCGTTTTAAGTTCTTGCAAAGCCTAGGAAGGACTTTGGATTTTATTCTAAAGGCATCAAAGTTCAAAACCCGGCAAATGATGCCGTTTGATTAGTATTTGGGGGAACTCTCTGAGTGCTGTGTGGAGAATCTCTTCAGGGTTCGAATTACTAGACCCCATTCTTGTTCACTTTTCCAGCTGGTTTCTTACCACTCAGAGCCTCCTGCCATATGCCCCAGCCTCTCCAAGCTGCCTGGGGTTCCACAGGTACGTCGCTTCTCCTTCGTGCTGTTAACCAACGCTCTGACTCCTGCCTGGGAGCCCAGTATGAACACATGCCCTGAGTTCTTGTTCCATCTCAGTAACTTTTAGCCCCGAGACCTTGGGCAAGTGACTTAAATTCCCCGTACCTTAGTTTTTTTCATCTGTGAGTGAGGAATAATCTTGGCACACGCCTGAGAGGGTTCACATAAGACCGTGCCCGGGAGGTTCCTGCCACTGCTTCTGGCTCATTTCTGTCACCCACAGGACTTGTGGGGATAGACACCATTTCTCATTTTTCTTCGGAGCCTTGACCTTTTCATAGCACCTAGCATATAGCAGATGTACAATAAATATTCATTCATTTAATTAAACTAAGCAAATTATTTCTATTTATGAATTTGCCTCATGTTTTTGCCACTATTTGTATTTCATTAACCTTCAAAACTCAAACTGCAAGCCCAATCCTTTCCAGCTTTTCCCTCTGCCATCCACCACCACTCTCTTTGATTCCTGGCACTCTTGCTGCATCTCATGGCCAGGAACACCCTTTTCTTGTTACTAATATTTCCTTCCTTCCTCACAACTGCAAGCCCAGCCATTAGCATTTTCATCTGCCTAACCCCCATTCATCCTTTAGGCCCCAACGTTATGACTTCCTCCAGGAAATCTTTCCTGACCGTTACCATCACTTCCATCACCACCACCATGGGCTGAGGGCCGCATATGTGTTCCCACATCATCTGTTGTTACTTGCTTATTAATACTTATCACAGTGTATTGAAAGTATCAATTTATTTACTCATCTCTAGTCCTCTGCTTCAGAGAAGGCAATGGCACCCCACTCCAGTGCTCTTGCCTGGAAAATCCCATGGACAGAGGAGCCTGGTAGGCTGCAGTCCATGGGGTCGCCAAGAGTCGGACACGACTGAGCAACTTCACTTTCCCTTTTCACTTTCATGCATTGGAGGAGGAAATGGCAACCCACTGCAGTGTTCTTGCCTGGAGAATCCCAGGGATGGGGGAGCCTGGTGGGCTGCTGTCTCTGGGGTCGCACAGAGTCGGACACGACTGAAGTGACTTAGCACTTAGCAGCAGTCCTCTGCTTGGGGAGGGCAGAGGCCATCTCTTTTGGGTTCACCATTGTCTCTCATACTTCTGACATACAGATTTCTATAATACGTATTTGTTGAGAAAAATGTTAATCATCATGGTTGAGACAGGTGGTTTGAAATTTGTCTCTGTCACTTGGGCAGGGCTTCCCTGGTGGCCCAGACAGTAAAAGATCTGCTTGCAAAGCAGAAGACCTGGGTTCTATCCCTGGGTCAGGAAGATCCCCTGGAGAAGGGAATGGCTACCCACTCCAGTATTCTTGTCTGTAGAATTCCATGGACAGAAGAGCCTGGTGGGCTTGCAAAGAGTTGTATGTGACTTAGTGACTAACACTTTGACTTAACCTTGGGCAGATGATGTGACATGTCCAAGATTCCAGTTCCTCATCTGTAAGACTAACCTAACACTTCCTAGGATTGTTGTGAGGAAATGAAATAATATGGGTAAAGCGCTTAGAGGGCTTTCCTGGTGGCTCAATGGTAAAGAATCCGCCATCTGCCAAAGCAGGAGACCCAGGTTTGATCCCTGGGTTGGGAAGATCCCCTGGAGAAGGAAATGGCAACCCACTCCAGTGTTCTTGCCTGGGAAATGCCATGAAGAGAGGAGCCTGGTGGGCTACAGTCCATGGGTTCTCAAAAGAATCAGACATGACTTAGCAACTCAACAACAATGCCAGAGAGCTGAGAAGTGTGCTTCGCCTACAGTGAGTGCTCAGAGGTTGGCTGTTGTTACTGTCCAGCATAAAGGTGCCATAGAAACTTGGCAGTAAGACTGTGCTCTAGGAGATGAAGCATGTCATGAATCAGAAAAGGGTAGATAAGTTCACCTTTATGCCACTAATCGTCTGTAGCTGTTTCAACCCTGTAGGAAGGAAGTGTTGAATACCTACTTCATATAAAGAAAATTGCTAGGTGCTGTAAGAANAATATGCTGTCTAGGTTGGTCATAGCTTTTCTTCCAAGGAGCAAGCATCTTTTAATTTCATGGCTGCAGTCACCATCTGCAGTGATTTTGGAGCCCAAGAAAATAAAATCTGTCACTTTTTCCCATTGTCTCCCCATCTGTTTGCCATGAAGTGATGGGACTGGATGCCATGATCTTAAGTTTTTTGAATGTTGAGTTTTAAGCCAGCTTTTTCATGCTCCTCCTTCACATGAATTAAGACATACTTGTTTTAAATAGAGGAGTTGTTTAATAGAGTTTCAGGTTCACAAGATGAAAAAGTTCTAGAAATATGTTTAACAGCAGTGCAAATATATTTAACACTACTGAACAATACACTTGATTAAGATGGTAACGTTTATGGTTTTTTAACCACAGTTTTTAAAAATGACTAGTAGATCTTGCCTGGGAAATCTCATGTACAGAGGAGCCTGGTGGGCTACAGTCCATGGCATCGCAGAGTTGGACACAACTTAGCAACTGAACAAAAACAACAACACACAATCAGGAGATTGTGATTTGGGAAGATAGTTCTTGATGGAAATGTGGTATAAAATGGAGAGTGAAGTGACCTGGCAATATGGAGTATAAAATTTTGTAAGAAATTAAACTTTATGTATAGAATAATAGTTCTAGATATTGAAACAATAAAGCCTGTGGCTAAAGGAAAAACAAAATGACTAGTCGAAAGTAATTGTGCAAAGTGTTACAGGAATGGTACAAATAAGGAGGAAAAAATCATTTCTGGGTTAATCAGGGAAACTTCAAAGGAGCTTTTTTAATCTGAATCTTGATAAATCAGATGTGTGCCTTACTAATCTTTTTTCCTTTTTTGTTTTCCCCGTCTTTTGCAGTACTGTATCTTGTGTGGGCTTTTATTCCTGAATCTTGGCTAAACTCCTTAGGCTTAACTTATTGGCCTCAAAAGTAAGTTTAATATATTTCTTAATTAAAGTAGGAGTATATCAATGCTGTTTTGAAGGATCAGCTTTTTTCCTCAAGACTTTTTCAAATCTTATCTATTCCTTTAAGATCTGTACATAACCATATAGAAATGTAAAGTTTTTTAAAAATCATTGATATGCTTCTGCTTAAAGATGGTGGTCTGAACGCACATCTTTATCTCTACTTCCTCCCAAATTCTTGATGAAATAAGCCCATAATAAAAAATAATTGTTAAAATATAAACCCACAGGAGCAAGTAATGGGACAGGAGAGCGGTATCAATAAAATCTGGGAAAGTGGATTGCAGACAGGTGGAGAGGTACCTGACTTAATTCCCACTTTGCCACATCGGTCATGCAGGAGGCAGCCAGAGTCTCTGTGCCCACAACACAGAGAGGCCCAGACATTGGAAGTGTGGGTACCTCTTTACATGGTATTTCTGGGTTGGGCTGAAAACCATGTTTAAAGAGCATATGGCCTTTCAGTCCTCCTCCTCAGCCTGTAAAACTGAGAGACAAACCCTCCCCTGCAGAAGGAGTTTTACGCTACGGAAAGACTGAATGAGCCTGTAATTTGGGATACTCTAGGTCTATGTAGGCACCTTACTGAAAACAGGAATAAGTGAGGATCTGCTTTGCTGAAGTGGGAGTCCTCCCAAGCACCTGTCCTCTCCAGGCACTATACCACCCACTTTCTCCCAGCAAGATCGGAGGGTCGTCCCTGAGAAAGTTGACCAGCTCAAAGGCTGTCTCGTTTCTGAAAACGAGAGGTCCTCCAATGGGATGGCCAGGTCTCCCATAGTGAGGGTCATCAGTAGGCCATTCCAGTCCGCGTATGCACAGTGGTTCTAGC